AACAGAAAAACTCGGGTCTTGTTAAGCCGAGCCAAGGAAGTTCAGGAGAGCAGTGCTGTCCTGCAGAATGTAGGCAAAGGATTTGTTTTCTTTCTCTGCCTTAGAGAGCTCCATCTTCCCTTGAAACTGTGTTCCAGATATAGCAGCAGTTGCTAACACTGAATGAATGCATGCTGAATTTAGGCAGCTCTGAGGCTGCTGTATGTTGCGCAGGATTTGGTCGTTTGGGTTTGAGTTTAGCCAGAGCAAGCGAAGCTGGTATGCTTGGGTGGCATTGTCCCAGTTGCCAAACTATAAATAGCAAACGGAGCCCAAGCTGACTTTGGAAATTTCCCAGACTCACCTTGGAGGAGGAATCCGTGCCGAGGCACATCAGCCTTTGGCAGAGTGGGGCTGAAGGCGGTGAATGCTCGGCATGATGCAGAAGTACCCGTAAGCGAGTTGATGAGGTGGCAGAGTTGGTATGAGTGCCATATGTCCGTGTCACTGTGGTCCCTGTTGGGCAATATTTGAGGATGCTGAGGAAAGAGCCTTGAGTCAGTGCTACGCTGTCACCCAGAGAGGTCTTCAGCAGGGAGGGAATGTCCTAAAGTGGGGACTTCTATGGAGGTCCTGACCCCAAGGAGGGGCTGGAGCAAGACAGCGGCTATCTGTTACACTTCAGCACCTTAGCACATCCATCACGTGTATCTGTTCGTCTTCCCTCATCCTAAAAGTTTAGTCCGTCCACATTCGAGGCTAAGTGCGGTGGATGGTGCTCTCTGTTGTCAATGCAAGAATTACGAAGGTGTCTCTAAGGATGGAGTCTGCCTCGGTGGCTGGCTGGCTTGCTTTTTGCACCTCAGCACAGTAACAAACCACACCGCTTACTCACAGGCGGATCCCGTGAGGTGTTTGTATCCAGGAGTAGGAACGCATGCCAGCAGTAGAATTAGCTCTTCCACAGGGTTGCATTGCACAGTTGGATCGAAATACTGCTCACATCAGTGCAAAACAAACACTGCTGCTGGTCTGGCACGCGGTCACGCTCACCCCGCGGCCTCTCTGTGCCGCGGTGAATGACGGCGGGTGCTGCAGGGGGACGGAGGCTCTGCGCTGGAAAGGTGGGTGCTAAAGGTGGGGAAGAGGAGGACGGAGATACAGGAGTTGGGGGAAGAGCTGAGAGTATCTCACACTGGCCTCCAGAAGAGACTCATTTCTCTTGATGGAGAAGTTTTTCACATGTGCGGGGTGTCCCCGTCCGCGGTCCCTGCCTGGAGCATCTTCCCAGCGGGTACCCAGCGAGCGGGAGTCGCCACTGGCCGTACGTGGCTCCCAGCTTTTGGCCCTGTTAGCTGATTGCTCTTCTGGGCTGTTTGTGCCTTGCAGTGTGTAACTTAGGATCAAAAAAGCTCTGCTGATCCTAAAGTAATACCTCAAAGCCAAGACCCAAACCTTGCCTTGTTTTAGAACTTACTCAACTGATGTTATAAGGCATGAAATAAGCAGGTAGGGCTTCCCGGTGTGTTTGGGCTCCTTGACAAGATTGCTCTCGCCTGTACTGATTCGTTGGGTCACGTTAGGTGATCCTGGACTTTTCGTCCTTCTGCTCTCCCACCTTCCTCTCCTCCTTTGCCTCTTTTATTCCCTTTCTCCACCTTCCCTTTTACTCGAGTGCACCTAATTCTCCTGCAACTCCCCCTCTGCAAGGAGTGTGGTTGGCATTTATAGAAATAAAATAGGAAGGTGTCCTGATCTGGTTTGTGTTCCAGTTGTAGCTGGAAGGATCTCAGCCTGTCACTGGGGTCATCTGCTTCTCCGAGAGAGAGCAGTGTGTCCCCGGAGCCTCTGGAGGGTCCCGCGAGTGCCTCGGAGTTCAGCTCCACGGAGGGTGGAAGCAGGGCACCGGGGCAGCCTCCGGGGAGGAGTGGGCTCCCTAATGCTGCAGGACGGAGTCGGGATGTGGTGCTGGGAGCGGTTCCCGGGGGTTGTTCTTGGCTCTTACGACAACGAGCAGATTTTTTCGGTTCACGGGGGATGTTCTTGGGCCTTCACAGAAGGAGAATCTCTTACGCAAGGGAGGGGAAAACAGTGTCGATGCTGAGGCTGCTTTTTCAAAAGCCGCTGTTGCGTAAGAGCAAAGCCTTGGGCAGCACAGAAAATGTGGAGAACGTCACTTCCTAGCGATCGCTCAAGACAAAGCGAGGATTGCTCTCTGAATTTCTTCCTTTATGCGTATCCTAAACTTCAAGGCCTATGTAAATTCTCTAGGTTTGCTCACGGCTTGATGCACTTAGGTTGCAGAGGATATGTTTCCATGTAGCCTGGGGGTGCAACTACCAAGTGAAAACAGTCTCTTCTGTTCCTGCCGTAGACTCTTTTCTTCATCTAGCTGCCTTCAGCAACACTTAAGAGGCCAGTGAAAGTGCCTGCTTTCCAGTGTTATCTTCTAGTGGCTGTGGGGTGGGAACATTCACAGCAGAGAGGCTGTCTGAGGCGGGAGTGTGTCCCTGCTCCCTCCCTCCCCTTGACAGCCCGGAGCAGAGGAGAAGCACCGTGCTCCTATTTCCCTTGCCTTGCTCAGTCACGTGTTTTGCCGTGTCCTTTTTGCCATCTGTGTGGGCTCTCCCTTGGTCCGCTGGCTTCTCTGTCCTTGTCCCTGGGCTGAGGCCGGGACCGGCACGTGGCTCCTTGCTGTCCCAGGGATGTCAAGGATGGAGGGTTGACTCTTTCTGCGGACTCTACAGAGCACCTGGATGCAGGAGCCTCTGCTTCGCTTGGGGCTTATCTCCTGGCTTCTGCTGAACTCAGGAGCACGCCTGCCTCCTTCTTTTGCTTCTTCCAAGACTGCACCAACACCTGGCTGCAGCAGTAGAGGGGTCCCCAAGCGAGGGTGTGGAGGTGCTGGTGGGCAGACTTTCAGTGTGGTCCATATGCCTTGAGAATTGCTTCCACAGAGACCAAGCCTGAGAGCGGACGCAATTCTCCATGGCTCAGGGATGCATCGAAGCCTGATGAAGCTACGGGGCGCTCCTCGTGTGCCTGTGGTCAGCCCCCTTCGTGGCCTTGCTGCTCCCCTCTGCGCTGGGGCTGCGACAGGCTGGATCCTCCCTGCCCTTCTTGGTGGCACTTCTGTCCCCACAGCGCGGTTGCAGAACAGAGCTGCCACCAGCCGGAGGTGGCAGTGTCCCAGAAGAAGGGTTCCCCACGCTGGGGGACAGTCCCTGCCACCGTGCCAGGGTGGTTGGGTTTTGTCTGGGTCCCTGCAGCCACGTGGCTGTCACCTGCTGGCATGGGGCGGGCAGAGAGGACAGCAGCGCTGGCTCACGCCACTGTCATAATTGAACTGCAGCGTTAAGCAAATCTGCGGCTGGTGATCTTTATTCAGAGTGCTCAGCCTCTTTGAAACAGCGGTTTAATACAGGCGGTTTGACAGAGGCCTTAATAAGCAGTTGCTGTCTGGATGACGACTGGAATTGGAGGTGCCGTGTTCCCTCGGATGCCCTGTGTAAGTTTTGGAGGATGTTTTTCTAACAGACTAAGCTGGTGGGTTTGGGGAATTTGGTTATGTAGCACTGTAGACTGTCAGTCCCTGCATATGACTTATTCCTGTCCAAAAAACAGTGCAAAATATATTTTTAGGTTTTGAGTAAGCTGGCAGAGTGTACTGGCGTCGTGAGTATTCAAATGCACATGCTGACGAGGTGGATGTGCCATGAACTAGCAGAAAGCTGCTGCAGGGACCGGTTTCAGGTGGCGAGTTTGATTTCTAGAAACCGTAGCTTGTATGTTTGTTTTCCCAGTATCTAAGGGTTGAAATCAAATATGCTCCGAGTATTGCCATTTAAATTTCCCTCCATTAATCTTAATGTTGGTTGCTAACCGAGACCAGATCTTTCCTAAACACATCTGGCGACTGGGCACGATTGTAATCCTTTCTTCTAAGGGTGTGCTACGCTGAAGAGCTGCAAGGGTCTGCTTGAGGTTAGAAAGCAAAGACAAGATTTGGGGTTTGTGGGTGCTCGGTCTGGTTGCTTTGGTCGTGTCGGCTCCCTTTGAGGCTCGGCTCAGCCGCCTGTGAGCGCTTGGTCACAGCAGGATCTCTGGCAGCCCTGCACCACGAAGGTGCCTGGGCGGGCTGAACCTGCAGCAACACGCTCTGCTCGACGTGGGCTGCGCGGCGGAGGTGCGGGCAGCGCGGGAGGCAGTTTGCTGGGGTTTTGCTGGATCCCAAGCGGGGAGAAGCAATGGCCACGCTGGGGTCTGGCTGCGCAGTTCTTGGTGGGCTCAGCCGGTCCTGGGGATGGTCAGGGCACCGCAGGGCTGGTGCTGTGCCAGGGGATGACCTGCTGCTGCTGCAAACACAGACGCTATGTCTTGGGTTTTGAGGAATGAGCTGGCACAGCGGTGTGGAGATGGCCTTAGGGATTCATCACAGCGTTTGCTTTGCCTCAAAAGCACGCACGGTGGCTCTACCTTCTGTTACCCAAATCTTTCTTGGTGAGGTGAGAGTTGTTGTGCAGAGTTTCCTCTTTATATCCTCTTATGTCACGCTGCCCCGCCGGCTGAGTGCGCTCAAAATAGCTGCCAATCCCAGTAGGTTTCACTTCAAGGTCTCTATTCTTAGCTTGCTGGTTAGCTGAGCAAGCCGCGTTACTCAGTAGTCATGAGTTCAAGGACCGTAGGGTAAAGACTAGCAAACTTAATGCCATGCAGGAGTTTTGTTTGCATTTCATGGCAGCTCTGAAGGGACAGCTTGGGCAGAGCTACCCAGCAGCCTCAGACTTGCGTGCTCAAGAAGAGGGCCGCATGTATGTGAGCATGAAATAAGAGTTGCTGGAGCTGATACGTATTCCGGAGGAGGCAGACGGCTCGGGAGACGGGATGACTCAGTATACGAGAGTCTGTTAAGTGGCTTATTGCATCTGACCCATCTACGAGCAGCCTTATCAGATGCGTCTTACTGCTGCGCTGATGGCCGGATACGTGCGTGGCAGGAGCGAAGCAGAAGTGAATGTGGGATGCGGAGCAGTGGCTTCCCAGGAGTGGAACTAGCTGGATGTTCTCAGAGTGTTGCACTGAGGCGGAAGGTATCTGCTACGCTGGTGATGTTCAGCCCGTCCTGTAAGTGCCTTTCCCATCCCAGGGGGATTTTTTCCTTCCTTGCATGGCTGTGAATCCTGACTAGTCGGGTGGGCTGGCTAAAGGTGTACGCAGGAGCATCCTTCTGTACGGCCCATGGAGAGCAGCTCACACATGGGCCTGAACTGAAGCTCTAATCTGTGTCTGGTGGACACAGCCACCACTGGGGCAGGTTAAGGGCTTTGTGGTTTTGATCGCCCGTACGCGGTCCCAACTCGTAGCCGCGGGAGACGAGCAGACAGCGTCAGTCCCAGTTGTACCAGCAAACACAGGACAGGCTCATCTGTTACCTGCTCGGCTGTTTCTGGCTGTTTCATTGGGAACTCGCCCTTTACCCGCTCAAATCTGATGAAGGTGCTGCCTAGACGGACTTAGCTATTTTTGAGAGTGTGTTTGGGGAGAGATCTTGTTTTCCGGACTTCATTTAAGTTCCCGTAACTTCTTCAAACTATCTTGAAGCTGTCTGATGCCAGCTCTGCTGGGCTTAGACGGGTTTCCACCCAGGAGTGGATTGGGCAGAGCACGCTGGGGTTAGGGCACGGGCAGGAGCAGCATCCTGCACCCGAGGGATTTCTGGCACGGGAGAAGCGAGCCCGTCTTGGGGGGTGAAAGGTGCTGGCTGTGGCTTTTGCCGTGTGCTGCGAGGTGGTTGAGGCTCTGTACGTGGGGTTGCTGGGGAGTGAGTGTTGTGTACTGAGTTCGCATCCTGCCTGCGCTGCGGGTAACGGTCACGTGCAGACGAGGCCTTTGTCCTGTGCCTGACTGCTTTTTTTAAAATTTATTTTTAGGTGCTCTCTGGCTTCCTCTTCCTCCTGCGCTGCGCTGCACTCCCTCTTTCTAACTCCCTCTTCTAGGATTGCTTTTTGAACAATCAGTTCCTCCTTAAACCCATTTTTGCAGGCCTTTGTCTGCGCTTGGGAGCTGGCCCAGTTTAGCATTAGCAGCTGCTGGCTCCTTCTGGGTAAGCAAGAACAAATAAAGGTTTACACTGAATGAATCATTTGAGCCTTATCTGTCTTTCAAATTCGGGACAGCTGTACCACTGCTGCATGGAGTCTGCCTGGAGGGCACAGAGCCTCCTCGGCAAAGAACTTCTCCTGCCAGTGGCCGGGGCGTAATGGCTTTGTGCTGCCGAGCCGTGCGCTGCCTCAGTGAATTCTGCGTGCCTCTCCGAGCTTATCCCACGCTTGGTTACGAAGCGCAGCTCTGGAGTAATTCCCTTTCCTTGAAGACTTGCTCCATGCCAGCTTTGCTATAGGCTCCTGCGGAAATTCAGCCTTCGGGATGCTTTGAGTGGTTTGATCACCGTGTGAAAATGCAGACGCTGGCTGCAGAGCATCGCGGTGGGAGCCGCGTCGTGGTGGGAGCCGCGTAGTGGATAAGCTTTGAAGCAGACGGAGCATGGTTTGTGGGGAGCGAGCTGGTGGCATCCTCTTGGGTTCTCCACTTAGGCAAAGGGACACGGCGGAGCGTCAGCACTGCAGGAACCGTGGTGTGGCTTTGCTGGTTTAAGAGGCAGGATTTGTAGATAAGTAGAGTTAGTTGATTTAATAACAGAAACGTGGGAGAAGGGAGGGGAGCAGCAGATAAGCCTTGGGCTCGTGCCTGAAAAGTTTTAATCTGACACTAAGGTGGGGAGTTGGACCAGAGCCAATATTCTGCTGAGATGAACGGGACAGTGTTTTCTCCCCTTCCCTCCTCCTCCTGCTGTCCCCATCTTCTGGCACTCTAGGTTAGACTTGGTTTATCCTCTTGCTCTGCAGAGAGGCACCCTGTCTAACTGTAACGGAGGTCTCGCCAACAGATCCGGCGTTGTTTAGTGGTTCGGAGGAAGTGCTGGCACGGCGAGCCTTGCCCGCCCTCCTGCAGCCTAGTCCTTCTCCCAGCTCGCGTCCTCTGGTCGTCAGAGCTCATCAGAAGAAGAAGCAGGCTTAGACACGTGACACAGCGGTGGCAAACTCCTTGTAACTTCTTGCGATTTCCCTTTTTCTTTTTTTTTTTTTTTTTAAATTCTTCAGAGAATATGTGCTGCAGAGCCTGGCCATCTCTCTGCACCCTCTGCAGACACTGCAGGGAGGTTTGGCTCTGCGGCTGGATAAACCATTTGCCTGTTGCGATGCTGGGAGCCACTGCGCTCTTGCAAACTGGAGGCGGTGGTGGAGCTTCCTTCGTGTGTTCGTAACCTGCTTTCCCAGTTTCTCTCATCCCACGCCCAAGGCCATGTGTTGACACCGAGACAGGGACATGGTGGCTCGGTGGCTTTGATCCTGCAAGAACCATGAGGATATGTTTGTGAGACAGAAATCCATCCTTCCCAGCAGGCCAGGCCTTGGAAGGTGGAGATGGCTCTGCTCTTTGCGTGGTAGCGGTTGCAACCCTTACTGTTGACTCAATAAGAAGAATTAGGGGATTAAAGCAGACCTTGGCTCCTGAGTGCAAGGGCTCTCGGCACTTTCACTCCTCTACAGAAGATCTGCAGGCTGTCCTGGCTGCTCAGAGCTGGGCTTGTAGCCCCAGCAGAGTGTATTGACGTGTACAGAGGATTGTGGGTTGTCTGCAAGGTCTTCTCCTGCCTTGGCAGTGACTTCTCTAGGGCTCCCTGGAGCTGGGCTTACCCTGAAGCAATGATGGCCAAGGCTCTTGGGATGCTTGGAAGGTGATTTTAGGACTGAGGTAAGGTCCTGGGTGAGGAACCAAACAGGCAATCATAACAGTGGTGGCAGAATAAAGTTGTGTTGTGGCAGAAGCTGTTTCCTTGGTTCCACGTGAGCTCTTTCCTGCAAACCCTGATGGATAAACTGCATCCCTGTCTTCTCTGGAGCGTGGAGGCACCCAGCGGTGCATGTGACCTGGCCTGGGAGCTCGAGTAGAGTGCGGAGATGCAGGGCTGCGTATCTTGGGTTGGGAAGAATAGCCCAGAGGCTCTTTCCACCTTAAATACGGAATTTTGAAGCGGGGCTCCGGGATGCTGAGATGGGACAGCCATGCTATGCATGGTGAGCTTGGCTATTATCTGTATTTTCATCTGGCCTGGAGGTGGCACATCAAGCTTGGTCGTTGGCAGGAGGCTCTTCTTCCATGCTTTAGTTTCCAGCACGGGAGTGAGACTATGGATGGCTGGACGCAGGGATTCGGTGGGAGAGGGGTCTTTGAAAGGCAAACCTCGCTATTGCGAACACAAAGCCTGGCTCCTGAGACGCAGGGAGGTCTTGCTCTGAGCGCGAAGAGCCGCAGCGTGCCAGAGGAGGAGAGCACAAAGGTGGCACCGAGCGCGTGGTGCTGGAGAAGGGAAAGCCAGGGCGGTGGGACCCAGCAGCCTGGACTCCTCAGCCAATGTAGTTTCTTTATAAAACTGATTTTTTTGCAAAAGCTTCCTATGCATTCAGCTGGCTCTGTAACCCGCCTGTCCGGCCCAGACTGGGGCAGATCGGGGCCAAACCCATGGATCCGTCGCACGGAGGATTTCTGAGGGATACCCCCAGCTAGCCGCCGCGAGCCTGTATCGATTGCCGCTTAACTTCTGGTCTCCCTGCCCGTGTCGGCCAGACTCTTGAGTGCCCCAGTGCAGGGGTAAGCAAACAGGGCTTGTAAAACCCTTACAAAGCCAGGGCTGGAACCTGCTTTTCTAGTATGACAGAGCAGGTCTCAGCCACTCTGCCTCTTTAAAGCAAGTGTACTCAGAGAGGGTTTGGCTTTTCTGCCTATAACTAATTTTTTAGCCATTAGGTAGATGGGGCAAAAGTCCCTGCTGGATTTGTCCAGGCAGCTCATTGCAGAGCCGTTGGAGGTTGTTTGTGTTGCAACACCTTGTCTCGTGCGGTGAGTCCGGCCCTGGCCGTGCACCGGATGCAACGGGCGTGCACGGATGCTGAATGCCCCCTTCCTCATCAGCTGGATGCTCCATAAAGGGAGCAGGAATAATTCGCCTGGATTAAATCACAGGTCTTCTCTCTCCTTCCATCTTCAAGGCTCTGCCGTCGTAAACAGCTGCTTACTGGAGTAGGTAAGTGGAGGCAGCGCGGTCCTGCCAAGCCCTCGTGTCCACAAATGACTAAATCCTGCCTGAAAAGTCAAAGTATGAAAACATTATTTTTTGGTTTTGGCTGAGCCTCGTGGATTGCTGGGATCAAGCCATCTTGGCTGCCTGGTGGGATAGCAGAGCCGCTCCTCAGGATGCTGGCTGGGGCTCTGCCCACCTTGCAGCTGGTGGAGGAGGGTGGAGGAAGGCTGGTGCGGACGTGTCGGGGGGCAGGCGGGGTCCTGGGGCGCAGGGGGGTGCCTGGGGGCTGCCGCTGTCCCAGCGGTGCTCGGACCAGCCTTACAGCCCGGGATCTGCTAGCAGCACTCTTGCAAAAATTGTTGTGCCCATTGGCAAAGTGCGTTGGCAAGGAGGGCTGGAGGGCGGTGCTGCGGCTGCAAGCCCTCGCAGTTCATAAATAACTGTGGGGGCTGGAGAGCCGGGCCGGTGTCTCATAGAAGAGCTGTCGTGCCAGCCCCTGTGCAAATGCAGCACCTGGCCTGTGTTTTTTGGCTTTTAAGCTAGTTTTTCTCTTGTGTGAACTTCCATGGCGGGGGCCTGCGTGCAGCTGGGGTTTCTGCGTGCTGCCCTCATTTGCTTGCTGCTCCAACATCCCGCGTTGGGACAGTGGCCGGTCGTCACCTGCTTGCAGGCAGCCCTGCCTGCCTGGAGCTGGGTCAGGAGCCTTGCTGAACTGCGCGGTGCATCCGTCACCCTGTCGCAGCCTGGCTGATGGACTCTGCTGTCAGTTCATAGGGAATAGGTGGATATGAGATGCAAGACGCTAATGTTTAATAGGGCACTGCTCTGGGAAAGTGGAGCTCTGAGCAGCTCCATGCTAAAGACTCTTTGTGCATTTTGATGTCTGTTTAATATATGCTGGAGCAGGAGCCTAAGAGGGTGGAGAGCAGTCTGGTAGTAGCCCAGTCTAAGTAGGTGTCCTGGAGCACTCCTGGGACCGTAG